ATCCACAACTGCAATCTACGGAGTCACAAGAGAAGCCAACATGCTCTGTGTGACTTAGCATTTCCTGTCTCGGCCATGGCGAGCATTGACGGTCAACCACAGCCGGCTTCCCTTTGGGACCCAGCTCTGGGTGCCATGCTCAAAGAGGGTTGGCTCACGGGATGGTTTTTTTGCTTTGGTTTGTTTTTGCTATTGTAGATCTAGCTGTTCTCTTTAGAGCTTCTCACAAAGAATGCTATGGAGGTTTGTATCCCAAACCCACATGGCAAAATGGCTTAGAGAGTCTCAAATTCCATCCATCCATCCATCCATCCATCCATCCATCCATCCATCCATCCATCCATCCATCCTGTGTTTTAGGATCTCAGTAGCCTTAACCTGCCCTCAAACTTGCCAAGTAGCTGGCTCTGGTCTTCAACTCCTCAACTTCCTGCTTCTACCTCCCAAGTACCACCATACCCTAATATTTAAATTGCTCTTCAGTCAAAGGAACTTACTCGACTAACTAACTAAAAGTACCTAACTAACTAACTAACTAACTAAAAGTACCTAGCTATATGGAGGGAGCTTGAACTCTGGGTGCCTTGGAATTGGCCTAAAGTCTGAGATAAGGGAATTGAACTGGGATGCTAGATAGACACTCAGTCTTTACACACATATTTACTGAGCACCTACTGTGTGCCTAGCACTCCTCTGTGGGCTGGAGGCTCACAACAGAGGTATTGACAGCTTTTATGGCCAACAACGTGCTGTCTTCATTTTCTATCTACCACCCCATTTAACCTCTATGACATCAGTTTGGGTCCATTTGTTCTACAGATAACAGTCCTTCGAAACCAATGCTCTACTTCCTTAATGTGCTGGAGCCCAGGACTGAAGGAGCCTGGATTTCTGAATCAGTGGGTAGAGAAGGCAATCCACCGAGAAAGCCCAGCCCTAGACTACGATGGGAATGAGAACCGCATTCTTTTTCATTGGAATCTGGATGTGCCCTGAGCTTTCTGTGCTACAGAACTGCCTAACACATATATTATGTGACACCGGGCTCCTGACACACCTGTTTAGCACATCTTCCTGGCTCCACTGTCTGACTTTAGAGAGAGCTCCTGTAGTTGGGAAGGTAGCTCTGTGACTAAAGCACTTGATGTGTGAACACGAGGGCCTTCGTTCTCTCCCGCACCCCCCTCCCCTGGCATTCATGTAAAAAGCTGGCTGTTGAGGCATGTCCTAGTGCTGGGGAGACAGAGACAGGTGGATTCCTGGAGCTCACTTGCTGGCCAGTCTCACCAAATCAGTGAGCTCCAGGGTCAGAGAGACTGTCACAGAAATAAAGGTAGAGAGCAAGAGCAATGGAAGGAGAAACTTGTCATCAATTTTGGCCTCCATACGTGCACACACACACACACACACACACACACACACACGCACACACTATTCTTGAACTCAAGTCTCCAAAGGAACCTTTCACCAGTTGGGGGGTGGTCAGTCCCACCTCTAAATCAGATGCTTCCAACTTCCTTTCTTAGTTTTTGAGATCTCACATGACTCCGGCCCATCTTGAACTCACTGTTTAGCTGAGAATGGCCTTGAACTCTTGACCCTTCTGCTTCTACTTCCCACACCCATGGGTTCACAGGAGTTCACATGGAAGAGCTTGCTAAGAAGAACTAAAATGATGCAATAAAACAAAAGTTTCTAAGTCTGATTGAGAACCAGTACCTCCTCCAGGAAACCCCAAGTGTTGTCTCCTTCCCAGAAGATCGGGCTAGGCACGGGACAGGCCTCTAAGCAACCAGATGCGCTTCATCGAGGTTCTGGTATGGGGGAACCATAGGTTTTGTGCACAGGTGGGGTGACAACCACTTAACAAGGAGAAGTTAGCAAGTAGCAGAAACCCAGCTCCCAGTTGGGTCAGCAGCACAAATCAGCATGACAAGGAAATGAACAAGGACCGTTCATAAATCCTCCAGCTCAGAAGCTTCCAAAGTCAGACCATCAACACAAGAGCAGCAGACCCACAATTACCCAATTAGAGCCAGAGCCAGGAAAGCACAGGTGTCCTCAAGCCAGGGGCCTGGCTGGGCTGGCTTCCTGGGCTTCATTAGTGCTCTGGAGCAGAGGCCACACAGGGCTTCCGGGCCTGCAGTCAGCCAAAGTGAACTCTCTCCATGCAAACTCAGAAAACTATACCTAAAACAGGCCCAGTGGAGGGAACAACCTAGAATGCCCACGCCTGGTTATCACGTGGGATCTGGTCCTAAGTACACAGTATACATTGTTGCATTCAATCTTTGTTACTGCCTACAAGGAAGGTTCTGTCTCCTTCCCATCTTTCAGATAAGGAAAGTTGAGGTGTGGAGAGGGGAACCCATGTGCTCAAGGGTGTATGGTTCAATTAGTGGCAGGGCCAAGGGTCAAGATTTAAACTCAAGTCCGCCATTCTAAAACGCCCCAACCTGTGAACAGTGTGTTCCAAGGAGCCTCCCTTTCATAGAACAGCCGTGTGAGCTGTTCTGGGAAGGGCAAACAGCGGGAGGTCCTACAGGACATCACTGTCAGTAGGGACCAAAGAGGGGAGCCAGGTCTGGGAAAGAATCATGGCATTTTCAGGGACTCAAGGCCCTTTAGACACAACGGAGCTGGTGCGCACGTGAACTCTGGGAGACTGAGTCAGGATGCTCAGGCCCTGGGCAGGTCTGCACCAGATGGGGTCCTAGCACTGAAAGGGGAAGTGGACATGTGTCTGTAACCTGCAAATGAAAGTTTAGTTTTCTCCAAGGGAGCTGGGGAAATGTAACAGCAGTAGACAGCCAACACAAAATGAACTCAAAGGCATCTTTGGAGACTCTGTCTCATAATGTTAAGTCGGGGCATTTTTTTTTACAGGCCCTCTGCGTATACGTTATGATTTCCAGTTTTGCGCTTTTATGGGATTCCTGTGTGTGCAAATGTGTCCCTGTGTCTATATCCTTTTAAAAAATTTTTATCTATCTTTTTCTGTGCTTTTTTCCTCTGGCTCCTTTTTCTCATTTGGTTGTTTATGTCTTACTCTGAATTGTTTGGCTTAATTTTACCTTATTTTATTTTATTATTATTCCTTACATGCCTGTCATTTTCTAAGGAGAGACAGAAAGGGTGTGGATCTGGTTGGGAGGGAAGGTGGGGAGTAGGGGGAGGCGAAACCATAATCAGAGTACAGTGTGTGAAAGAAATCTATTTTTTTTTTACGAGACAGGGTTTCTCTGTATTGTTTTCGAGGCTGTTGGTCCAGCCCAGCCTCGAACTCACAGAGATCCACCTGCCTCTGCCTCCCGAGTGCTGGGATTAAAGGCGTGCGCCACCACCGCCCAGCTAAGAAATCTATTTTTAATAATGGAAAAAATCATAGTGTTTTACTTTATTATGCTAAGTCCTTGTACCTGCCTCACTAAGGCATTATGCCCACTTGACAGATAAGATGACTGTGGCTCACACTCACTCTGCCTCCATAGTGCTTGTACGGAGACACATGGAACAGCTTGCACGTGTACATGTGCGTCAGGCTTTTCTTCGTGACATGGATTTCTATTTTGTCAAAATCCTAGTCTCTGGGTACACATCTTATTGTCTCAGATGTTTAAGCCCTGGCTGCGTAATCTTGAGCATGCCCCCAAGCCTCTCAGAGGGGGCTTGGTTTCTGCTCTCACAGGAGCTAGCCAGGATGGGGTTAGCAATCTTGTTTCATAAAGAGTCAATCGGCTGAGATTTCAGATTTGGCAGCCATCTAGACTCTGATTGGTAACTGCCCACCAATGCAGCCACAGTCAGTGTGAAAAGCTATCCATCTGGCCAGATGTGACCCTGTAGCCGAAGGGTCCTGGCTCCAGATCCACTGGGCCCCAAATTCGCACAAATATTACATTCCATGTGAGAACACTGCGAAATGAGCAGATAGGGCGCGAGGCTATAAACCCAGCGGCAGGGATGCTGAGTTCAGGCTTCCTCATCTCTCTGGACTCAGCCCCAACTCCACTCCTTGGGAAGTTCAGTGGCCACCAGCCACACTCTGAGAGCAGCCTGACTCTCTGCAGGCCTGGTGCAACCTCCAAGGCAGGGAGACTTCCGCCAGCACCGTGCCGGCTCCTTCTCTCCAGTGAGGCTTGCATCAGAGGCATCTTCTGAAACTGGGCTGTTCGGACAGCTGCAGCAGCCTTTGCAGCATTGCTTGACGAAAATCCCAGCTACTCAGAGCTAATTGCGCTGCAGTTTGGGGGCGTAGACTGTGCTGAGCTGAGAATACTGCTGTGAGCTTCTCTTGTATCCACAAAAGGAAATTCTGGCGAGGACTTGGGCGCAGGGCTGGCTGGCAGGGAAGGGCATGCGGCTGGATTTAACAGCAGGGGTATGAAGCATTTATCTTATTGTAAAATAAGATGTGTATTTGGGAGCAGAAATGCCCTCCCCTGTGGGCATGAAAAGCCTCGAGCTAAACAAAATGGTGCTGATTTCAAGTCTATTTTGGGCGCCTGTCGCTAATTGTGTGTTTCCGAGGCCTGTGCATACGCTGCCTCCTCAAAGAATGGTCCCAACAATGGAAATGGAACGAATGAGCATCCCCTGCTGCCACCGCCAGAGCAAAAGCAGTCCCCAAGGCCTGTCAGGCCCGAGGCTGCTCCACTCTCCTCTCCCTCTCTAGGTGCCCACACCCTCCCCTGTCCCCATGGTACTTGCTGGGACCGGGTAAGGTTGCCTACTCTGTGCCAGGAAGCTATTTACAAAGGAAATAACTCTGATAAAGGGGATAAAAATAGCTGTCAGGGATGGAAAACATTTTGTTGAGCGATCCATTGACACGAGGGGAAATGGAGCTGTGACTAAGATAGGCGGTGACAGACACAAAGGGAGAAGTCGCCAGGCCAGTGATGGTGCCGTAGTAACCGGGACAGGTGGGTAGCAGGAATGGGCTCACGTGGATGTAGAACCCCAATCCCAGCTGCCTCTAACTTCTCCTTTTTCTCTAGCCTTAGCAACACGAAGGAGGGCCAGCCAGATGCGAGCCCCTTCCCCTAGGATCCATGGCTGCAGAAGGCAGCGTGTGACACGCAGGAGGACAGCAGGCAGGAGCTGAGCTTTGGGAATTCAAGGCTGCCAATGTACCAGCACCATCACTTTGTAGCCTGGTGACCTCAGCCTAACTTCGTGAGCTTCTCTGCGTCTCTGCTCCTGCAGGCGATAAAAGGCAGCATCAGGCCTGCGTCGTGGGGCTGTGGCGGTAAGGCGTGCACTCTGTTTGCTAGCGTGATGTCATTCAGGTCATCTGGTCTTTTACAAATATGAATGGAGGGCTTCCTGGGGGCAGGGCCCTACTGTGATGAAGAACAGTCTGTCCCAGGATGTTGTCACTTCTTAGGGAGAAGCAGGGAAGGGAGAGGCATGCTTCGCTGTGTGACCAGCACCACAATCCAGCCCCAGCCTTGCTGCTTGGGAAGAGGGCTCATTATGGAGTCCACAGAAAATCTCCAAGGCTGGTCCAGGGCTGTTAGATCTCCCCTCCCCCGGGGCAAACACGGACTTGCAGGGGAGGGGGCAGGGGGCCGCCTTCCCTGAGCACTTGGCCTCTGGGCAGAGCCTCTTCAAGCAGAGAGCCGTGAATAAACAGTGAACTGTTCCAGCACACACCGGTGTTGATTCTGTACCCAGGTGAAGGGGTTTGCCCGATTCACCTAACTTCTGCAGGAGGTAGCGAGTACTGCTCACACCCCAGAGCCCACGAACATCCTCCATCTCACTCAGCTAGTGACCAGGCCAAGACAGGAATGAGAGGCCTTCCAATCCTGCCCCGTATCCTCCTCTGATGGGAACCACCTCTCATGCTGTCCCAAGGGAAACCCGGCCTCCCCCCACCCCACCCTCCCCAGGGAGCTGGTGGACTGAGCCTGCTGCCTGCCCAAATCTTCCAGACAGTCAGGGCACATCCACCAGCTGCTGGGCCGTTAATTAGCCTGCCAGCCCCGGGGGGCTGAAAGCCGCCTGACTTGGGCCCTTGCCAAGAACCACCCCCACACACGGGCAGGTGAGGAGCGATGGGCCTTCCGGCCCTATATGATGCCAGCTCAGAAACCACCCAGGGAGGCTCCCTGGCAGGCTGGAGGAGGGGAGGACAAAGGTGTCACCTTCTGTCCTTGGGCTCTGCCACCTGTGGGCTGGTGAGCAGGTGAGGCCTGGGTGCCAAGGCACAGGCCAACACTGGCTGGAGGGGACGGCTCTGTACAGGCCAGTTGCTCCTGCCTGCTGAGGTCACCGGCGGCAGGGACTTCTAAAATCAAGGGCCAACAGCCAGTGCCCCCTCTCACGTGCAATATGCAAGCATTGAGACCTGCTGTATGCTTGCCAGCGCTCTGTGCCTGGAGAAGAGGTAAGGAACCAAGTGTCCATAATCCCTGAGAGACCTTCTAGAAAGGGACGGGTAGGCAACCAAATGAGTGAACCGGTAGCATGAGCATCCAGTGAGGAGCTCAGCAGTTCTGAGTGGAGGGGAGGGGGAGGGAACCGAGCTCTCTCAGGGAGGGCTGATAATCTTTGAATCCCAAGTAGCCCCCATAGTCTGGAGTTCTAGATGCTTGGCCCCTCCCTTCCGTGGATGGTGGAACTATCTCAAAAGGTGAAACAGGTGTCTCTGAGACATTCATTCTGAGAGGACCCCAACGGCTCCTGGATCAGAGCAGGGGAGTGCAGATGGCCGAGGGCAGCCTTCTTGCTGATGATGGCGCTCAGGTTCATATCTGAGGTAGCAGCAAGCAGCCAGCTCACAGCTTACCTCCCCTCTGCCTCAGCTTCCTTACCTGTAAAACAGGGGTACTTGTATACAGAACATGCTTCTAGAATTCAGCACTGGCCATGGAGGAGACTTCCATGGTTAGAATTCTTATTGCTGGTGTTACTTAGCCTAGTGACCGGAGGAAATGGTGCAACTGGGCTGACTCTCGTCAAGGATAGCTCCCAGAACCAGCAGATCATGGAGCCAACAGGAACAACTGTCCACAGATGCATCTGGACCGGATGTAGTCTCCTGTCTGGGGCATGCCTTGTCTCTGAGGTCTTATAAGGACGCAGCCCTGCTCTGGGTTTCTATACGTGAATGCGTTCTTTCCTTTGCCGGAGAGGGGACTAACACTCGCCATCCTGAGATAGTATAGCCGCCTCCCTCTCTTCTCTCTCAGGCATTGAGTCAGTCAGTCTGTCCCTGTGCACCCACATTAGTTGCTGTGGCATTGCTGGGACCAGATTCCCTATGGAGACAACTTAAAAACCGAAGGACCCCCTCCCTTGGGCTCATAGAGTGTTCAACCGTGGTCGCTTGGCCTCAAGTGTTTGGGTGACACAGTGGGGGCTGCTCTTCTAGTCATCGGGAGGTAGCCCCAGGATTATGCACCCCAAGGATCCTCCAGCTAGGCCCCACCCCCCAGGGTTTCTAAGTCACACCGGGAGCCTCTCACGCTGTGAGAGGAGTAGGCCACAGCACCAGAGGATGGCTCGACACAAGCCTCTGTCCCGTCTTCCTCCCCTCGTGTCTGTCATCACTGTGGCTCTGCAAGCATGCAGGAGAAAATCCTCGCGCCTTTGCGGCTAGGCACTCACAGGGCGCTCCTGAGGCAGCCAGGGCTTGCAGAGTCAGGGAGGCCACACTGAAGCTCCCGCCACAGCCTTTCCATCTCTGACGTTTACAGAAGGCCAGTTCCCGGTGGCGGGGAGGGCACACAACAGAGCAGATGATGGGAGAGCCCCACTGAGTGGTTTGACTGTGAAATGACTCCCGTGTTTGCACGCTGGGTTTGCAGCTGCTTGTGGAGCTGTGTTATGGAGCCTCGGCGGGTGGAACCTCACTGCAGGAAGGGAGTCGTGAGGAAGAGGCCCTGAAGCTTTGTACAGTCAGGCGGCACTTCATGTCTGCCTCCCGAGCACGGGTGTGATTAAACCGGCCTCCTGTACCTGCCACCTCGTCTTCCTTGTCAGAACAGACTCTATCTCTCTGGGGCTATAAACCCAAAACACCCTTTTTTCCTCCTAAGTAGCTTTTGTCAGGGTCTTTATAAAAAAACAAAACAAACAAACAAAAACAAAAACAAACCCTCAGGAACACACCTTCCTAGCTGCCACCTCTGTATGAAGTGACTTTTATACATCGAAATGAAGGCCACACTGCATAAAACTAGCCATTGTAGGACGTTCAGAACATCTGCAATATTGTATAACAGTCACTGTATCTAGTGCAGGGGTTTGTCCGTGCTGGAGAAGTGCTCTGTAGTGTTGTATCACCAGCCTCTTCAACATCTGTGTCATTCCAAGTGGAACCCTTCTACCTGTTAAGAAATCAGTTCCCGCCTTTTTCTCTGTCATCTTAACTTATTTGCTCATCCTGGATATTTCAGAGAAACACGCTATCCTGTGTGTCTGGCTGCCTTCCCAGCATACTGTCTCTAAGATCCATGCCCTCTGTAGGGTTCATCAATGCTTCACTGCCTTTATGACCGATTACCATCCTGTTGAATAGATATACCACATTTTACCGTTCCCTTCATTTATCGATGGGCATTTGGGTAGTCTCTAGCTTAGTTACTATGAGTAGTACTTCCACAAACACTCATGTTCAATTTTTAAAACATTCAGATACTTTGGGTGTACTGCTAAGATTTGTGTTGAGCTTTGAGTTACCCTCAGACTTTTCCACAGCACCCAAACCCATTTAAATCCCTACCGGCATTGTACAAAGGCTCACATTTCTCTGAATCCTCATCAACATTTGGTATTTTCAATTTAGAAAATTACAGCCATCCCAGTGCATGTCCAGTGGCTTCTCATTACGGTTTGGATTTGCTTTTCTCAACTGACTGATGACATCATCCATCATTGCCCGGGCTCCTTGGCGATTTGTATTTGTACTTCAGAAATACGGTTACTTCTATGAGCAAGTCTACCACTCTCCGTACCTGTGTCAGGAGACTGGCATCACTCTTCTCTTGCTTTCTGACAATGCCCATCCTCGTGGGGCCTAGAACATTTCTCCTGTGGTTCTGATTTGCATCTGATGAGTGATTTTGAACATTAGAGAAATGTCTAATACAAATTCTTTGCCCATTTTCTAATTGGTTTATTTATTTTAATTTGGCCTTTTTGTTATTGAGATTTTCATATACCTAAGATCTTTATATATTGTAGATGCTACACCCTCATCATATATAGGATTTTCAAAAACCTTCTTTGATTGGTGGGTTACCTTTTAGGGTTCAAAAGGTAATTATTCTTGGCCTTGCTGAAATTTGATGTGCCATGTTTTGTTGATACTCATGGAAGACTTATCCTTTCCTGGACAGAGATGGAGGGGGAGTTAACTGGGGGGATGATAACAGAGAGGGGATGGAAGGGAGGGACTGGGTGGAGGGAGAAGAGGGAAACTGACTGGGATGTAAAATAAATGAATAAATAAATTATTAAAAACAACAACAATGACAACCACAGAAACCCATACCAGGGGCTGGAGAGATGGCTCAGAGGTTAAGAGCACCGGCTGCTCTTCCAAAGGTCCTGAGTTCAATTCCCAGCATGGTGGCTCACAACCATCTATAATGAGATTTGGTGTAAACATGCCAGAATGCTGTATACATAATAAATAAATCTTTTTAAAAAACCCATACCAAAGAACTACCATCAGCAGTAAAACACAAGCTTCGCAAACCTGCCTGTCAACTCCCAATTTTACAACTAAGACTTTATCTTTCTTTTCCTTTCTTCCACATTGGGAGAACTTTATGATAATATGCTCTGTCAAATGTCTCATTTTCTTCCTCATTTGACACAAGCTAGAGAGATACCTAAGAAGAGGGAGCCCAAAAGAGGAATCGATCAGATTGGCCATGGAAATGTCTGGAAGGCGTTTGTTTGGTTAGTGATTGATATGGGAGGGGCCAGACTGCTGTGGGCAGTGCGAAGCCTGGACAAGGTGGTCCTGGGGCACAGAAGAAAAGCGACAGAGCAGGCCATGGGAAGTCAACCAGTGTGTAGCCTCCTCCATGGCCTCTACTTTGGTTCCTGCCTTCATTCCTGTCTCTATTCTGCCCTGACTTCCCTCAGTGAAGGGCTGTCACTTACAAGTTGCAAGATGAAATAAATTCTACCCCTCAAAAGTGTTAATTGCTGATTTAATAGAGTGTATCTTTTTTTTAATTTTGTCACTCTTGCTTTTGATGTCACATTTCATAATCCGTTACTGAATTCTGGGTCATGAATGTTTGCCTCCACCTTCAATCCTAAGAGGTTTGTGTGCTGTGTTTTACACTGAATCTTTCTGAGGTCACCACCCTGGCTAGAAACTGAGGTCAGGACTTCTACAACATTCATTTCCATTTTTAATTAACACGTTTTGTATTAACCTTTAAAATAAGGATATTTTTACTATTTGTGTGTGCATGCATGCTACAGCATGTATGTGGAGGTCACAGGACAGCTGATGGAATTTTCTCCTTCCATCCCGTGGGCCCAGATATTGCGCTCAGGTTACTAGGCTTGGCAACAGGCATCTTTACCTCCTAAGCCATTTTGCTGGCTCCAACGAATAGTGTTTCAAAAGGCAAAGGACTGAGAAGCAGCATGGTGGCAGAGTGCTGGCCTGGCATCCATAA